GCCAATGGATACTAATTCCCATTAGTTGCTATGAGACCGCAGAGCTATAAAATGAAATTAATATTCACATTCAAATTAAAATACATTTCGAGGCTGTTTCAATTATAATTGAAGTGTTAATTTTTTTTCACAACGTCAGAAAATTTTATTTCGTTTTAATTTTATATATTCAAAATAAAGCATATATATAATATAGATTTATCTATGCTATATTAAATATGTATTCACTAAGACACCATCAATATGAACTCATATATGCACAGGATATGCGTGAATATTGAAATGCATTTGGATGCCATTTCAATTATAATTGAAGTGTTAATTTTTGCATATTTCTGCACAAAGTTAACTGTGCATATTGATGCCAACCGAAATAATGGAAAAATGATTGCAAAATGTAAATTGTGCTGCTGGCATCAGCCTCATCGGCCGTAGAGCGCGGCGTTAATTGCGCGTTTAAATCGATTGTCACAGTATAATACATTTCAGCGCATTAGATAATGCCAATAGAGATGCTTGAATACCATTTAATTCGATTTTCAATCGAAACCGAAATATTATTGAGAGCACTTTGCGGTCGCTTAGACCGCGACATGCGCTGAATTTGTTAATGACATCAAATCGAATTCGGCTGTCATTGCGGTGTCTATGGTCTCTTCCGGATTCAATTGCACTTCCATTAGCTGCGATTTAAACATTCACTTCAACATACGATAGCTCGCAAGATTCGATATCGATTGGCAGCTGAACGATAATGTTTAGCTAGATTTCAGTTAGTTAAAGTACTAAGTATACAAATAGATAAGTCAAGTTCTATATGTAAGCATATTTTAATTTCTATTATTATTGCGCATTACGATCTCTTATTGTGTAAACTGCAATCAGAGCTTTGATGACGCCTTATCCCTAATCTCTATTATGTGCGATTTCTTTCTATTGCAGGGCATGCGTATGTCTGGCGAGAGCTCGGAAATCATGCACCTGACGCACCTGGAGCGAGAGAGTGCAGGCGCTTACGCCTGTGGGGCAACGAATACGGAGGGCGAGACGCGCAGCTCCAGCCTCACGCTGAAAGTGCAGTGTAAGTAAGCAGCTTTGCTGCGGCCAGGCTTGATAGAAAAATAGGTGAACTGTGTGAGCATGGCAGCCACTGACACTGCCAGCAATATGACGAAATAACATGTCGAACGGAAGCGGAAGTTGCAAAATAAAATCAACTACAGCTCGTGGCCATAGTAACAAAAAATATTTATATATATTTGTAAGTTGGCAACTTGCGCAGCGGATGAGGAAATTGCTTAGAAATAATACATCGGCCCTCTGTGTGTGGCCGGCTATGCGCGCGTACTTGTTTACAATTGTGGAATTGTTGCTGCCATCGGGCTAAATAACCGCCATTGATTTACACACAAAAGTTTCGGCCATAAATTTAACTCTCGCAGCGGCTCTGGCAACTTTTTTCATAAACCTCACGCACTGCCTTTGGGGATTTGGCTGCTGGGCTGCTGCCTGCAATTTTTTATCACAAGATTAATGTGCAGTGCATATAAAAACGATTGAACTGTATAAATCAGTTGATCAATGTGGACCTTCGTGTATGCCGAAAATTTGAAGTGTTGCCCAAAATGGAGCCAAATGGAGCAAGCGCTGTCATCCAACGCAAATTGAATTCGTTTCGCGCACCTTTCACACTCTAAAGCCGATTGAGAATTTATCATAAATGGAATGGTGCTTTGTTTTGAGAGGAATATAAATGCAGCTCTCTATATAGTTGATATGTCACCTGAGTGAATTGAAAAACTCCAATTGGACTAAGTCCTCTCGCGATGAAAGAAGTGATTTGATTTCTCGTATTATGAAATGCGTGTAACGAAGAGTTGCTTGAATGGAGCATATATGTATATATATATATATATAGATTATAAATCTTCTTTATCCACACACACACACACACACACACGCAGGCACATAATCCTCTTAGTTGACGGAAATCTACAAAGGAAACTGAGTCATTTTTCAGTGCTTGCAAGTCGGAAATACGCTTTTTAAGCTATACGACAGTTAAAGTAGTTTTTATTTGGAATTATGAAAGTTTAACGCCTTGAGTTGTGGGCAACTTGAACTCAACTCACACACATTAGCAACAAGTACTTGTGCACACACACACACACTGGCAGACTCTGCTGCGAAGTAGATGAAGAAGAAGAGAACGTTTTAAACATATTGCGCTGAAATACAGGCAACTTGTGATAACAGCAGCAAGTAATAAAGCCTCAAATACTTATCAGCCTTGCCGTGACTTACATACAAAGATGGCTTTCAGCGCACGCACACAAACACACACACGCACGTATATAGCAGATGTGAATAAGTGCACAGATGATGCGTCTTCATGCATGTAGAAATTCATGTACATATGTGTGGCAGACGGAGTTGCCTTGAGGGCCTGAGCGCTGCTTCCGCATATCTGTTCTCATTTTACATTGAAGTGAAAGTAAACTCGACAACATCTTCTTCAATACCTGCTACACACACACACACTCGCACACAGAGACTGAGATTTACTCGCTTTTAAACATAAAGAGGGCAACAACAACAACAACAACAACAACGAGATCCAGTACCCACGTTCGTGAAACGGAAACATGTTAATTACTATGCTCAAGGCTATGTAGCTGGCACGACTTCCTCTTGGATTTAGTCTCCAGCTTAATGTTTTTTTGTTTTACTTTTTATTATTTTTTACTTCTTGTTTTTGTGTACTTTGGCGTCCGGATGGCCAAACTCCGGCAGGGCGGAGACTGTTTACTTTCACGGCTGCTCTCACATCCGAGCGAGCCCCAAGCAGCAGCATTATAAAAGAAATGTTCTGCGGCTTAGCGACCTTTTCTGTGTGACACGACTTGAGATGATTTTGATTCTGTTTCCCTTTGCAGTCTCGCCGCGCTGTAAGCCGGGCTCGGAGCAGACGTCCATTGGCGCCATCAACATGCACTCCATACAGGTGAAGTGCGAGGTGGACGCCGATCCGCCAGAGTCGGTCAAATTCAGCTGGACCTACAACAATACGCGCAATGTGTCGCCGGTAAGTGCCATTAGGCCAACTCCCCGAATTGCATGCCAAATAAATTGAAACCGGGGGCTGTGATTGCTAGGAGCTAGCGATTCGCCAGGTGCAAGGCTGAGCCAGCCGGAGGTGGGCAGCTATTAGCAAAGCTTGTGTTAAATACTCGGCAGCCGGAGCTGAAAACTCAACTCGCACAGAGCACAGAGCACAAGGACACGAATCCGAACGGGAGACAGACTGAGCAACTTTGTACGTGACTGAATTAAAATTTAATCAAAATGTATAAATTGTGCAGTGGGAATGCTGAGAGAGTGGGAGTCGAACTGCTAAACTGCAGCACGGATAGAAAGAGAGAGAGAGAGAGAGAGAGAAAGTGAGGGAGAGCTTGCGAGAAATTGAGCGAAAGACATGCATATGCGATGCACTGGGGGACAGCTGTGCACAATAAATAAAGTAATTCATTTAGCTCAAAAGTTATTTGAGAATCTGCACGAAAATCCAGTGAGCAGAGCCACAAGTTGAGTCCCGTCTGGACCGCAGAGAGCTTGGCTTGGCTCGACTCGACTTATCCAACTGCATTGCAATAAAAACCTATTTGCCTTGAAATATTTATGCCAACTCAACTGCTCGAATGCTCCACTGCTCCATTGCTCCACTGCTTCGACTGCCTCGACTGCTTCGACTACCTCGACTGCCTTGACTATTCGACTGCCCTGGCAGGCTTCAATGATTTTGCTTACGTTTGCAGTCGAGATGTAATCCATGCTCTTGTGCTTTCAGGTGCTGAACTCCCGGATACAATCGAATGGACTGACCAGCACTGTGACGTATCTGCCGCAAACCGACTCCGAGCTAATAACACTGGCTTGCTGGGCCAGCAATGCGGTGGGCCGACAGACGGTGCCATGTCTCGTTCACATTCTGCCAGCAAGTAAGTAAAGGAAATTGTTATCATCTCAGACCCCCTGCCAGCCCCACCCCTTCCTCCCACACTCTCCCTTAGTCGTCTGCCTGCCCACATTGTGTGTAATTTAAACAAGACGCCGCCGGTGTTTGTATTGGTGTTGCTGTCAGACACTGGGCGTCCATGTATGTGTGTGTGTGTGTGTGTGAGTGGATGTATTATGCACATCTAAGGATCTACTTACATAATTGGTTACCTGGTGGGCATGTGCATGTGTGTGTGTGTGTGTGCTGGCAGCCAGACAGCGGTCAAAACTCATAGCAAATAATCATCAGAGCGCGCGGTCTGCCTCAATTTCCACTTACAGCCTGTACGTTATTAAGGCAAACTGTGGGCGTATGGGCGTGTCCTGATGATGCCTTTATTTGCCTAAAATGGCGAAATGCGAAATGCAAATTTGTTGCCAATGCCAACCGTAAACTATCCTGCCATCGAGTCCATTATCATCACCTCTCACTCTCTCTCTCTTTTCTCTCTCCTCTGCAGATGCACCAGAGGCGCCAAAGGCCTGCGAGCTGCGCAACGATACCGTCCTCGAGGTGGTCTGTGTGGCCGGCAGCGACGGCGGACTCACCCAATACTTCATGCTGGAGGTGGTGGGCGGGGATTTGCTGTACGCCAGCGAGTCGGCGACGGGCAAGGGCCAGTTCGGCGACGCGAATGGCCAGGTCGACAATGAGCTGTCCACGCTCAACGATCAGGTGAGTCCCCAATTGAGTTGAAACCAAATTTGCAACACGTGCCGGCGAAGAGGCCGGATTGATTGAATTAAAATTATGTCATGGATGGGCTAGCGAGCAGGCGAGCAGGCGAGTTGATTCGCTCGAAATCCATATGGTCAATTAGTGTGCTCGTCCTTTCTGACTTTTCTGCTTGAATTATTAATGAATATGATTTTGAGTTGAGTTGAGATGAGTTGAGTTGAGTTGAGGCGAGGCGAGGTGAGTGGAGCTGGCCGGTCCGGTCCGGTTCGGTCCAGTCCGGTCCAGTCGTACGGGTTGAGCCACTAGGCTCAAGCGTAAAAAGGACAACATAATTAATGCTATAGGTTGCCATCCGGGGCGAGCAGTTTAACCAACTGTGAGGACGCTGGATGACGGACGAGATGAAGGAGACGTCATCCATAAGCCAATGCGGCGAACACATGCTGAGTTATTAAATTATCTCTGTCACTCGTAAAAGAGAATATCATATGAAAATTTCATTTCATTTCGTTTGGTTGCTTTCAGCAACTTAAGTTAGCAGCCGGAGAGGTCCTGCAGAGGGGCGGTTGAGAGTCGACGAAGGCGGGACAGCAGCAGGGTGGGTGGAGGATGGGGGCCAGTACAAGTAAACTGGGCAAGCAGCTGAAGGGCTGGGCGGGTGAGTTTATTAGCAAAGTAACCAAGCGCAAAGCAACGACAGGTCGAGGAGCTGAGGCAGACGAGGCGAGGCGGGGCGAGGCGGGGCGAGACGAGCAAGGGATGATGCGCAGGACATGGACTCTGACCAACCGACGTTGGACGTTTGCAGCTTAAAAGTTTCACGCTAGATAAAAACGGTATACAGCAGGCGAAGCAGCAGCAGCAGCAGCAGCAGCAGCAGCAGCTTGTGTACTCAGTGGTGCGGTGGTGCGCTGGCTCGGTGTGGGCATGCATAAGCGCCGCAAGGACAACATAAATTACTTACGCTTACTTGAGTGGGAATTTGTGCGTAACCAACGAAGCTCACTCGATTGTGTCCCATTACGGCAAACGGATATTCAGTTTAAAATTTCAGACAGCGCTCTGGTCCGAACAATGTGGCTCTGCTACCCCCATGCATGTCTCGCAATCTGAGCACATTTTTAGGCATGAATAATTATTTATTTGCTGTGTGTGTGGCCCAAAAGTTGGCAACAAGCAAGCATAGCGCAGCATGCTTTGGCTCAGCCCAGGCATATGGCCAGCATATTGTAATGCGACATATGTCTATCTAGCATAAACATATCCATACATTTATATTTATATCTATATTTATGTATATATTTACATCTACATATACATATACTTACTTTGTTTTTTTGGCTCGCCCACTTTGTTTCAGGCTACATCTGCACCCATCTTCCGCATGCAGGAGAACAGTCCACAATTTCGTTTGAATAATTTAGAGCCGGGACGTGAATATCAATTTTTAGTTTACGCCGTCAACGCAAAAGGACGCAGCGAGCCGCCGGTGGTGATTGAACGTGTGCGAGTCGCCGCCCAACTGGGACCATATGGTGAGTAACCAAGACGACTCCAAATACAAAGACAAGCCCCACATAAAGTGTGCCAAAATATTTACCAATTGCCATTGCCTCAGCCTCAGCCTCTGCCTCTGCCAGTTGCGGGTCATTTTTTTTCTTTTGGCAACGGCAATAAAGTTCGTCGGGTTGGGTTTGTTGGCTGCGTGGCATGCGGGTAGTTTGTAGTTGATAGCTGCCAGCAATCGACGTGGCTGTCTAATTCAACGCTTCAGTGCATTTTCAAATCAACGCAAGTTCAACAAAATCATCTTCAATCAGGCGCCGCGAAAACTGTGCGCAGGCACTGGCAAAAGCACAAGCAAAAACAAAAAGGGACCTTATGTTCTGGCTGCGAGGCAGCGAGGGGGTGAGGCTGTGGGGCTTGCCTTGTAGGCTTGCTGTTGAAGACGCCCTTTTCTAATCCACTGACTGAGTTATGCAGCGATGCGTAAAGCATTTCAGCATTTTCCATCAATGCGGCAAGCGAGCTACGCATATTACGTATACGCAGGGGCGTGCCGCTACAGCCTCTTAATTTTTCCCATTCTTAACGACATAACGACAACTCTGTGCGCCTCTATGTGTGTATGTGCGTGTGTGTATGTGTGGTCACATGTGTGTGTGTGTACGAGTGTGTATGTCATTGGCAGTGCCCTTGTTTATTTCATACCATCGAGCGAGAGGGCGAAGCGAAATTGCTTCAATTTTCCTTTTGCTTAACGGGAAGCCGTAGACACTTTGCTTTTATTGTTCGCCTCTCACAGGCATTCGCATTCGCATTCACATTCGCATTCACACTCGCACTCGCACTCACACTCACACTCATTCATTGCGTACATGCACGTAGGCAGCAACGAGTACAACGTTGTCATTATTTTCATGTTGATTTTTATTTTTATCTGCATTTCCATTACCATTTTCATTTTCATTTTCGTTTCGGTACCCGTTTGCACGGCCACACTTTTCTTTTTCTTCTTCTTTTTGTGCCATTTCCATTTCGAGCAGGCCATAAATCACATATAATATTGACCGATTTAATGCGACTAATTGTGCCTCATACGCAAATGTTCAATTAAATGCGCCACGCCAGGCTCCCCTGCCCCACACGCTGGCGTCTCTGATGTCGTCCAAAACAATAAATGCGATTACCACGGGGCTACGCCTGCAAGCAGATCCCTTGAAAGCCCGATAGAAGTAATTTATGCGAGATTTTAACAGTGAGCCAGCCAAGGTCTGCCTACGCAGCTTCTATTATTCACACACTGTCTGCAAATTGTGCTTCCGCATGTGTATGTGTGTGCGTGTGTGAGTTACTTGCCAGTAGATAGGCCAGAGACAGACAGCGCCGCCCTGGAGTCGCAATATTCACGTGTGAATAACGGCAAAGCCGTCGACGGCTGACGCTGATTTTTGCTGTTGTTGATTTAAATCAGTTTATGCCGAAATGAAACACGAACACATGGGGCTAAAATATTCGTAGATCTCCTTTTATTTTTTATTTAATGAAAACCCGAGAAGGCTGCACAGCAAATAAATTGCCAAATCTGCGAGGAGAAAACAAATCTCTTAGCCCGGAGCCAGATGAAAGCAGACCCAAGCAACTGGTTAACGAGAGAATAAATCGAGAAAGCGAAGGCAATAGATACCCATTAAAAAAGATTAGAATATATTATTCTTTTAAAGAACAGCAAAATGTGGATAGGCCAAGGATTCAATTACAAATTGTGCTCTTAAGCAAATCATAGCTCAAGCTAAAATGTTAATAGAGTTCATAATCGAACGACCTTTGTTTACATTCTCTGCATTTGCAGAGTATGAAAAAAAAGCCTGAAATTGGCCAAGAACATTGTTAAGAGAAGCGTTGGCAAAGGCCAGCAACATCAATGGTAGCCACACAACAACCGAAATTCAATTGAGCCGCAGGTGTAGGCAATTTCCACCTAAATGCTCGCCTTAAAAGCCAGACCAGAGCCACTAGAGCCACCGTAGCAGGCCAACCACTTGGCAGTGTTTCAATTCGAAGCCCGCAAATGGAGCGGAAATGTTGCATAGCGGATAGAGGCGAAGGCGGCGACTCCCACTCCTGCCAGGGGGCATCTGGGCACCTTGGCAGGTGGGCAGGCAGACAAGACGAATGAATCGCATAAATCTTGCCTGGGGATCATCTTACAAAGAGTTGGCTCCTGCAATTTCCGCCTCTAAAAATCTAATAAACATAAACAATGCCCCTCGCATGTTGCTAATAATTGGCGCAGCTTTTGCAATCTGGCACAATCAGCGTCTTGATTTCGTTGCCCTTGGCAGCGGGGAGCAATTAAAGCTCCATCGAGTAGCCACTCGACCCTCACACAGAGCCAGGTCAATTGGGCTAATTTCAATTTTCAACACAATTTGCTATGGCAACGTGAACGAAAGCGAAAACGAAAACGAGAATCAAAACGAAAGTAAAAGTGAAAGTGAGAGCGAACGCGATAGCGGAACGACTTAATGCAAAGAAAACAAAAACATCCCCAATAAGAAATACAAATATAGAAAAGCAGAAACAGTTAAAGCAATCAGTTTAGCAAAAGGCACACACACCCACACACACGCGCGCGATACCAAAATAAAACAAAACAAACAAATAAATAGCAATGAAACGAGAAAATAAAAGAAAGGGAGCAGCGGCAGAGATGAAATTGGGGAGCTGTGCCAACGGCTGCTCCCAGTCCCGCTCCAACAGCATCATACTAATTTCGAGCAAATAACAAATCATTGTTCACCCCGGCCCGGCGGATGCCTGGCTCTGGGTTGGGCCAGCAAAAACTATTTGATGTCTAACCTGCGTCCACTTTATGCTGTGTTTTATCTCACTTGCAGATGAATCTATACTCTCGGAGGATCCGACGCCCGCGGAAACCACGCATCATGTGGGCGGCAGCGGCAGCAGCGCGGGCGGCCCCAGCGGCGTCGGCGCCGGCGCCAGCATCGGCAGCGGCCCCGAGAAGGAGTCGACGCTGCTCATCCTAGCCGCAGTCGTGGCGATAGGCGCCGTCATTGTGACGTCAATTATCGTGGCCGGCATTGTAGTTGTCTGTCGGCATCGGCCGCGGCCACCTGAGCCGCAGGAGGTGCGCAAGAGCATGCGGTAAGTTAACCACGAATACCCTGTAAAAAGACAAGTCGAAATGGGGGAGTGCCT